GTTCAATTTATCGATGTTATCAATACCATAAGATCCTTATGCTGTCCACACATACAGATTTCATAATAAAATAATATAAAATCAATATAATTTTTAGGGGTACATGGGAATCTATCAGAATGCCCAAGGCCAAGGGGTACAGTGGAACATAAAGGTTGGGAATCCCTGTCCTATGATATCTTTACGATCCATAAGTAAATTCATCCTATGATATTCTTACGATCTATAGGTTAATTTATCCAAAAATATCTTTACGATCTATAAGTAAATTCATCCTGTGATATCCTTATGATCTATAAGTAAATTCATTCTATGACATCCTTATCGTGTATAAGAAAATGATCTAACAAGTCTTGAAAATACTTCTATGGTTTCTTAAAGTTGATACGCAGTAAATATAATAGTTTGTGTTATTCCGTTCAGTACCTTGTGAACACATAATCCATGAACGCGCAGCAAGAAAAGAAACTTTATAAAATTGATACTCACATAAAAAAATAAACAAAAAGCCCGAGCGTGGCCCAGTAGTTAGCGTGCCAAACTATAGATCTGTGAATCCTTTATTCGCGTCCCGTTACCGACAAAAAAAAAAAAACGCTCACTGCACTTTGAAGTCGTAGGTGCATTATAAGAGTGATGGCCAAATATCACTACTTGTTTGACAAAAGAGTAGTCCAAGAGTTGGAGGTGAGTAACGGTTGTCTAGCTGTCTTCCCTCTAGTTTGCCCCCAGTGGCACAGCGGTATGTCCGCAGACTTATACTACTAGAAACCGGGTTTCGATACCCGTGGTGGGTAAAGCACAGATAGCCCGTTGTGGGGCTTTGCGCTTAACAACAAACAATAACCCTCTAATTTGTTAGACCAAAATTTGGGACGGTTAGTAGAGATAGTGCCTGAACAGCTTGACTTGAATATCACCCCCCAGTGGCACAGCGGTATGTCTGCGGACTTACAACGCTAGAAACCGGGTTTCGACACCCGTGGTGGCAAACAATACTTGAATATCCAAAAATCCAGTGCTTTCGACAGATGTACCTGTCTGTATTAGGGGAAAGGGTAGAATAATGCAATGGAGAGTAGTAAGTTTTAAAATGGTAAGTATTATAAATGACCAGGCGTGGGCCAATGTGAGCCACGTGTCAGGTCAATTTAGTTCAAATATCACTTTGAAAGTATATGACAAATGCATGATAAATATATAAAAAAAAAAACATGTACCGATTAAACAGAACAGTTATTCTATGTTAAAAATTTTGTATTCAATTTTAACATTGACTTTATACACCATGGCCCATTCTACCTTACCAACTTTGGCCTATACTCCGCCAATCAGACATATTTCCTTTTATTTTTCACCTTGTTTGTTTTTATTTTTGAAATTCGCACAAAGCTACACCAGGGCTATCTGCGCTAGCCGTCCCTAATTTAGCAGTGTAAGACTAGAGGGAAGGCAGCTAGTCATCACCACCCACCGCCAACTCTTGGGCTACTCTTTTACCAACGAATAGTGGGATTGAACGTAACATTATAACACCTCCACGGCTGAAAGGGCGAGCCTGTTTGGTGGGACGGGGATTCGAACCCGCGACTCTCATATTGCGAGTCGAGTGCCATAACCACCTGGCCATGTCGGGCCATTTTTCAAATTATGCCCACACTTTACATTTCATTGCACCTTTGCCCCTATGAAGATATGTTCACATGTTAAAAGTGTTGGTTTAATCGCTTTTTTTAAAGTGATTTAGTAGCGTTTTTTCTTATGCTACATATTTTTAATTATAATTAATATGTGAATTAATACTGTTGCTCCACAAGTAGTCCAACACTATATAATTTGTCTTAAACTTAAACTCATTTGTTTGAGTGAATTTTCAGTTTTAATAAAACTAAGCCTTTGTATTACAGATGTTCAATAAAAACTTTGATATATAAAAAAATATTTGAATGTTCGTTTATTAACGTACCACAACCCAACTATTTACTTTTACGTTAACCATGAAATGAGACATGAGCTTAGGAGCAATTGCAACAAATGTGTTTGAATATTTTCTGCTTTACTTTTAACGATTGTGATATGCAGTTGCTATAATTTAAAGGCACATAATTTGTCTTTTTTTAAATAGTCCAGAATCGTGAAATTAAATGTCTAGTGGTTAATAAGTCCACGTACATGTGAGGCAAACTTTTTTTGTATAACAAGCGCCACCTCACAATCATTAAGTCCTATTCTTTCACAAACTACAGTTCTTGGTTCTAACCCTGTCTTACTCGACTTTTACACTAACATTAATCAGGCTTAATGAAGGTTCTCGCGAGGTTTAGTGGTACATTTGTTAAATCACATCTTATCAAAACTCAAAAGTAACCTTCTACAATTACCCTGGGCGTATTCGAGCCAGTTCGGTGAGATCCTTTTACCATTGTAGAAACGCATTGAGAAAGAATTAGATTATAAACCACAGTGAAACCGACACCGATGATTCATTACTATCCACGAGTTTCGTAAAAGGTGAGACTACCTATATATATTGGAATAAATGTGAGGGGTGATTTTCTTAAAATCTTTTATTTGACGACGTTTCGATCAATTGCTCTTTCTCAAACAATAAATTTCTTCGCACATTTACACATTCGTATTTACCACCCATTTCGCATTTTTATTTTGTATCTTTTATAGCTATACTCCCCACCCCCACCCCTTCACACATACAAATATATATATCACGAAGCCGGCCATAAATATTCCCCGTTCCGCCTATATATAGGACAAACAAATACAAGAAGGATACCAACTCTTAAAGTGGGAATAGTGAAATGTATCCTACTAAAAGAGGTCTTTGAACACACAATATTCGCAGAGGTTTGGTAATACATCACCTGTCACATTCTATATTTATTCGAAGGTCTCGCACGTGAAAGTTAAATCAAGCAAGCTGTGACCTAACTAACTACCTTGGAACTTGGTTCCAACTTCTTCTAATAAACCTCATTTTACTGTAACCATTGCCCCGTATTCAATGCCTATGGGTGGTTTACTCGGTAAACCTAATTTTACCTTAACCATTGCCCTGTATTCAATGCCTATGGATGGTTCACTCGGTAAACCTCATTTTACCTTAACCATTGCTCTGTGTTCAGTGCCTATGGGTGGTTTACTCGGTAAACCTAATTTTACCTTAACCATTGCCCTGTGTTCAATGCCTATGGATGGTTCACTCAGTAAACCTCTTTTTGCCGTAACCATTGCCCTGTGTTCAATGCCTATTGGGCAGTTCGTTCAGTATATGGGCATGATGTTGTATCATTCTCTCATTTTCTTAAATGTTAAAGTGAATAAGTTTTCTAGGCTTTTTTTTTGATAGATTACTTCTTTACGTTCATGGAATTTCCGTAATTTAAGATGTTGGTAATTTTCTTTTAATTCAAATTTTTCACTGTTGAGTAACTTTTACGCAAAATGTACTTGTATTACGTATTTATGACAAAACTACTAAGGCTATCATTCGCCGCCCCTAATTTTGAACTACTGACCAGAAGAAAGGCAAACCGTTATTGTCACCCTACACGCTGCTGGATTAAATGTCACTCTTATAAGACACACACACAACTTAAAGTTGGAGGATATTTTGTGGTATCGAATGGATTTGAACCCGACTCCGAAACAACAGGAAAATGTCACTCTTATAAGACACACACGCAACTTAAAGTTGGAGGATATTTTGTGGTATCGAATGGATTTGAACCCGACTCCGAAACAACAGGAAAATGTCACTCTTATAAGACACACACAACTTAAAGTTGAAGGATATTTTGTGGTATCGAATGGATTTGAACCCGACTCCGAAGCAACAAGAAAATGTCATTCTTTCGTTCAAATTGCGCTAACTTCCACTAGTTATCTCAATATTCATTACTTGCAGTAATAGAAAAACATAGAGTTACAGAAACACAAACGTGACTTTATAAAATTACAGTAAAGACAGAACTTAGAAATATCATGGCTGATACGTGATTTTTGCATTAGATAGTAAAGTATATATATATAATAAATTTCGTCTGTTGGATTCTGTAAGTATTTGTTTTCAACTTTATATGTACACACTTATTACCAGTGTGTCTAAAACAGTTTTAGTTACTAATGTTATTCGTATCTCATGTTGTTAAAAAACACAACCTCTGCATGTCTTAAATCCTATAAAAATCACATTTTCACAACTATATAAGTAATATATAATCCAATTGAATAATTCACAATCACAATGAATGATCAACTTTCAGTTTCTGTAGGTTTCCCGCACTTCGATTTGGAAGTCTTGCGATAGAACTATGAAACCTGGTCATATACATGTAACCAATGTCACTTAACCTTTACTAACGCAAATGACATCATAAAACTTCTTGATCTCGCATACTTTATAAAAATTCAAAATGATTTGGTTTCGTTTTTAGCATCAATGAATAGTGAGTTAGATGAAAAAGAGATTGGTTAGTCATCTAACCCTCAGTTAACAGAAAATGGTGCCATAAATACGTTTAGTCAAAACCTTGCAAACGTTGATAAACTATTTCAGTTTAAAACAATTTGATTTCTCGTTTTGTTTTTTTTAATATTCGTGAATTTTCAATTGTATGACAACGAGATAATAAGTAAAACTAGATGTTGGTCAAAGTCTCCTGACCAGTGGTCTAACAGAATCACACCTATTGAATAAGTTATCAAATAGTTATGTTGAACTCCATTTTTGTTCACATCCTTAAATAAAATTAATTGATTAACTTATTGAAATTATTCTATTCTTTTATATTATTCTAAGAAATTTAATCTTAAAAACTACTATGAAACTTAATTATATGTACTTATATTCAACAAAATTTCAAATAAAACTAGATATACTGACCTGTTTGAAGAATGAATATTGGAGCCATGTCCGGGCCTTTCTTTGACACCAACGCCCTCACTTCTTTGAGGAAGTCCTTGCAAATGAGAGTGACTAGATGGAACTGAAAAGGATGGAGACATTGTGCAAGGAAGCATGTTGTGGTGCGACACCTGGTGGTTTAGTGTCATGAAGGGTAAAGTGTTGATGTGTGGGGGTGCTCCAGTTGCCACCGCTGCTGCTGCTGCCGCTGTTGCAGCTTGCGCCACCATGTGGTGATTGTAGCCGTTATGAAGGAATGATTTGTCCAAGTGATCTAAAAGCAAAAAAATAAAATAAAATCGGTTTTAGATTATAAAATATTTAAACCACGAACTTAAGTTAGATAAACTTAAGATATTTATTTTCTCCAAGATTCTAGTCCTCATTTTCAAGTGCTGCTTTAAGAATAAAGCTAGTCATAATTTCTGTGGGATTGAGATATCTAAGGTAACTCTTCTTAACGTTTCAGTTATCAATTTTACTACATTAACTTTCGGAAGCCACCAAAAAGCATTCTCGTAGAAGACCAATAAACAAGAAAAAATCATAGTCTTGTACATTAGTGTAGTAAGGTAATTAGAAATATTTGTTTGTTTGTTTGTTATGAATTTCGCGCTAAGCTACACGAGGGCTATCTGCTTTAGCCGCCCTTAATTTAACAGTGAAAGACTAGAGAGGGAAGGCATCACCACCCACCACCAACTCTTGGGTTACTCTTTTACCAACGAATAGTGGGATATGCCGTCACATTATAAAGTCCCCACGGCTGAAAGAGTGAGCATGTTTGGTGGGACGAGGTTTCAAAACCGCGACCGCATATTGCGAGTCGAGCGCCCTAATTAGAAAACATACAAATCAAGGGTGTCGATACAATATTGAATACTAAATTCGAAATTGTTTCTCTGTATTTCTGTGTTTGTGAAATCGTGAATGATTACACCCTCAATTTTGTTCAATGTTTAAAGACACTTAAGTATTTGGATAACCCGAATATTTAATAACATGTCAACTACGCTATATCTGCCATATCCAGTAGCCGACGAGGCCTTTCACCCAATATCAGAACTCATCAGGCCAGCTGAGACACGACAGAAATAGTAATGGTTTAAACTCGCGATGAATTTGATCGTATACAAAATGTATTTATAACTCTCTTTCTTTTTAATTAAAAGTTACCTTGATAACGAATGATACGTTAAGTTTGTTTTCAAGTCACATATAATTTGTCACGGAGCTTCAAAACTAAAACAAATAAAAAAAAACTCTTCTCTCTCTGTGTCGTTTTTCTTTCTCTTCATTATCAAGTATATTCTCTGCAAAGTTCAATAGTTGTAATAGATCGCTTTCGAACTGCTCAATATCTGTGTGTTTCTTTAACTAAAACAAAGTAATCGTTCTCTGTTTTCCTACGATAGCGGTATAGTACTATTAGCTACGGCTCCGCAGGTTTACACCATTAAGCGTGTTACTATATATTCATGAAACAAAACAGCAATAACTGTAATTTATTAGATATGCCATCAAGGGCTCCTGGATGCAATAAAATGATAAGTACTGTGGGAAATTTTCAGTCCTGTCAGGAAGAGGGCGCCTAAGCTAGGCTCTGGTTCCTTCTCGATAGTAGTAGATATTCAAACCAAATCACACATGCATAAACATGTGTGTACTTATACAAAATTATAAACAGAACACTTTTATCTATTTTATTCGTGCGGTTTAACTGTACGTAGGACACGTGTATCTGTTGGTAATGACCAGACAGACCTTCGATGTATAATAGTTCACGGTCCTATTCGTTTAACGTGAATGTTAATAGCAGGATACGGCTGTAGATCCTTTATTAGGTCCAACGCTTCAATTAAAGCTCTCAGTGATATACAACCGACAAGGGGACAGTAATTATGTCTATAAAGCAGCAAATGGCAGATATTTCATATGAAGTCTCCTACATCAGAACACGAGACTCGCCTATGTTTCATGATCGTGATGTGTATCTATTTTGGTATCATATACAAGGTCTTCACGTTTCACGTGACGTAATTGTTTTATATTTTTCACATAATAGAATTGCTTTGTAAATAAATGAAATAATCTCTTAGCATTCTCAACACCAAATGCGTACACGCCAGGAAAACCGTCTTTAAATCAATATTAATTCCAATAAGTCTTTCCTTCTCCTTGTCACTCTAACCCTAAAGCCAACGTGGAACAAGTATTCTCAATCCCTCCACAGGCCTCATCTACACGCTGACCAAGTATCTTAGCAACTCGAGTTTCGATAATACATTTGTCACTGTCAAATTTGGGCTTCTTTCCTTCTTACTTCATAACCACTCGCAAATTGTTACAAGAAAGTTGACAACTTAAGACATCACAATGAAGTGGGAACGCTAACAACACGACCAGAGGGATCGTATCATAATCTTAAATTTTAAAGATGCTGATTTTGTTTTGTGTTTTCATTGACATCGTTCAACTGTTTTAAAACAAACTATAAGAAACAAATGAACTAAATACTTAAATTCCCTGGTATCTATGTTTTGTATTTTCATTGACATCGTTCAACCGCTCTAAAACAAACTATAAGAAACAAATGAACTAAATACCTAAATTCCCTGGTATCTATGTTTTGTATTTTCATTGACATCGTTCAACTGCTCTAAAACAAAGTATAAGAAACAAATGAACTAAATACTTAAATTCCCTGGTATCTATGTTTTGTATTTTCATTGACATCGTTCAACTGCTCTAAAACAAACTATAAGAAACAAATGAACTAAATACCTAAATTCCCTGGTATCTATGGTTTGTATTTTCATTGACACCGTTCAACCGCTCTAAAACAAACTATAAGAAACAAATGAACTAAATACCTAAATTCCCTGGTATCTATGGTTTGTATTTTCATTGACATCGTTCAACCGCTCGAAAACAAACTATAAGAAACAAATGAACTAAATACCTAAATTTCACGATATCTCTATTGTTCAACCGCTATAAATACCTAAATTTCCTGGTGTTTTCATTGCCACCATTTAATCGCTCTAAAACAAACTATAAGAAAAAATTAACTAAATACCTAAATTTCCTGGTTTTTATCTTCTTTTCGCTGGTTCATATCCGAAAAGAATATTAATGAATTGCAAAAAACTTCTGTAAACATTATCTTAGCGATGAGAAAAACATTTCTCGACGATGAGAAATTCTATTGGCCGGATATGTCATATTGCTTCAAATCAAAACTCTATAAACCAATGAAAGCTCGGGAGTAGAAAACAGGAAACTGTTGAGCCTTATTTCTATTTCCAGGGCTAACAGTATGATGCTATGAACAGAACTGATCATAGTATCAGACAAATTACTTAGATATGATCTATATGCATTGAATGTATTTTCTGTTTTGCCCTGGAAATAGAAATAAGGCTCAACAGTTTCCTGTTTTCTACTCCCGAGCTTTCATTGGTTTATAGAGTTTTGATTTGAAGCAATATGACATATCCGGCCAATAGAATTTCTCATCGTCGAGGCTAAGATAATGTTTACAGAAGTTTTTTGGAATTCATTAATATTTTTTTCGGATATGAACCAGCGAAAAGAAGATAAAAACCAGGAAATTTAGGTATTTAGTTAATTTTTTCTTATAGTTTGTTTTAGAGCGGTTGAACGATGTCAATGAAAATACAAACCATAGATACCAGGGAATTTAGGTATTTAGTTAATTTTTTCTTATACTTTGTTTTAGAGCGGTTGAACGATGTCAATGTATATAAGTAGGAATAGATAGAAAAACATCTCAATTCTCAAACACCGTTTTGAGCCATCTTCATTACCAATACAAATAAGTAAATCTACAGTAAAACTTGGATGGTAAATAATAAGGGATAAATTGACACGTCCTTCATAAGACAGTAAAGACCGTGTTACGTTGAAATTAGGCTCCAATTCATTATTAGCCTATATTATCTTTTATCCGAGTTTTACTGCTCACGTCATGCGGAACAACAGTCACATGTACAGTAAACTAACTTTAAAGCGGGAGAATTTGTAAGCTGTTATTTCAATCATTTAAAGTCGTTTCCCGCCTGACTTTCCAAGAATCTCCAAGTTCAGTCACTCAAGTTCTATTTCTGTTCTTTCTTATTCGACTTAACACGTTCTATGTAATTGGTTCAATATTTTGGTATCCAATTTGTAAATTTCATTCACAAATTTCGTCGCGCTACTTAAGCTGAGTTATGTTTAGCACAATTACATTTAAATAATCACTAAACACTGAGTGGCTCAAGTAATATTTCCCATAATCCATCACGCTTGTTCAAATCCAACCTACATTATACGCTTATGTTTCTGATCGGTTAATTTCAGGTAAGTCAAAAGAAGGTGATAAGTTTCTCACATTATTATTATTTTCTTTTACAGTAGATTTGAATAATCACCGTATTTTGTTTTAGCTTGTCTAGAGCTTTGTCCGGAACTTTGACACATCCTAAGATATTGTAACACCGCCGATTAACATGATGAACGAAGTGAATTTGAGTATTCCTACAGTTAAAGTCTACTTTTTCAAGTTACTATAGCTAACACTTGACCTGAGACATGTTCTGAGGCAGAGACGGGAAAAAAAAACTGTTACTTCTTGGCACGTGTAAATGGAATCAATTAAAGCTTCAATGCAACAGACAATAGTTCAGGCTATTCTGCTCAGCCTGAGTGAAACGTTCATATTTCAAACTTTGGAAACGATTAATTTTCACACTTCGTAAACCCACTTATTCTTTTTAACCAACGTTAATTATTCAGTGTACGCATTAGCACACTCAGTAGTTGGAAACGAATGTCGTATTATGACATTAAATGCTCAACAAAACGATAGATGGAAGCACATGGTTTTGTAAAAAACACACAAATTAAATAAATAAAAATGCAATTAACAGCTAAAGGCTCAGTTAGTTATACAAAACATGCAGTTAAAAAATATATTTCCCAAATTTAGATAGACAGATAGACCGTGGCAGTGAAATAGCCATTATGCGTGCCTCACACTTGCCTAGAACGGAAGATATACGCGCGGGCTTTACTCATTACGTGGTGTTCATAATGAAAGGTATTTCGGATGAAAATTGCCAAAGAATACATAAAACGAGGCGGGGAAAAACCATTAGATCTTCCGCAGCTTCACAGTTTTACCAACAAAACAATCATTAATGGAGTTTCTTAACCTTTTTACCTTTTTCAAAATTCATATTTCGACGGACGTTTGTACTAGCTCCTCGTTATATTCTATTTCATATTCATTGTTAAAGCATATATGTGTATTATGTTTGTTAAAAATACACGAATAAAATAAAACTGAAAAACCTATACAATAAG